GTGCGTGGCCAGCAGATAGCCATAAGCAGCCTGCTAGATGGTACGTGCCAAGTCTGTACTCAGAAGCCTGTACAATTAATAAATCCATTTTACATTAATATTGTGTATCTTGTCTCTTATCTTTATTAGTTAAAACACAACAGTGGCGACATGGATTAAAAATGACCCCCTACCTCTCGCACAGCAAAATCCGCGAGTTAAATTAAAAGAAAACTAGCAGCAACAGCGCAAAGACACTCGCCAGCGATACTTAAATTCATAAATGAAAAAAATTATTTCTGTTTCATGTCATTTTTAGTTATTTTACTATTTTCACTTCCCCTTTATGCACTCCTAATAGTTTTAAAAAAAACTTCCAAGTCTCCTCACAATTTCTAAACACATTGTCTAAGGGGCGCTCCAATATTTGTTCTAGCACTCTTCAGCCTCTTTCCACCACTTTCTCAATAATTTTTTCATCCACGTATATATATTGTATTTATTTATGTCCATATATTTCCATACCATTTTTAAGGTAGTGGTATGGTCTGCTGGTTTTTTCTTTAAATTCTTAAAAAGATTATTAATTGCATTATTAAAAATATATTCAACATGTAGCATTTGTTTAGTAATTAATTTTGTAAGTTTTTGTTATTTATGTAATGTTAGCATATATTATAATATTTATATCGTTAGAAGTGATTATTGTATCATTAAAATGTTATGTTATGAGTAAATAAGCATGTGCTAGTCCATGTTTTTGAAACTGTATGGTGTTAACATAAGCTAATGTAATACCACAAATATTGTTACTCGATATATCACCTTTAATTGATTGTAATTTTGTGTAAAGTAGCCGATCAGGTAGATTTGGCNTTACCTGCGCGATCAGTTTGTCTGGGGTATTGCGAGTGAGGCAATTCAGAAGAGGCTACTGGGAGAAAAAGATCTCTTATATCAAAAGGCATATGACATCGCACAGTCCATGGAGGCAGCAGGCCGTGACGCTGCACGAATGCAGACGAAAACGGGAGCGGATGCACTAAACTACATTAAGGATAAAAGGCGAGCGACCCAAGGGCAGAAGAAGGGACCAAGCGAGCAAGAGAAATGTTTTTGCTGCCGAAGGGCTAACCATCGCAGGTCGGAATGTCGCTACAAGGACTATAAATGCAAACAGTGCAGTAAGGTGGGGCACCTTCAGGCGATGTGCAAAAACAAGGACAAGGATACCCCCATTCCCGGAAATCAAGGTAGGCAGCGTGTTAAAAAAGCAAGTGACGAGCGGCAAGATTTCGTAGAAGAAGAAGACGGTGAAATAGGTTCGTTAAGTGAAGTGTGGGACTCAGTTTTTTGCATGCATGAGGGGTCCGCGTCTGTAAATAAAAGTAGTGAGCCGTTGTATGTGAGTGTGAGTGTTGAGGGCAAGCCGTTACGTTTCGAAATGGATACCGGCTCCACTATTTCTGCGATTTCCGAGAAAATTTATAACGAGCATGTTTTCTTGCGTGAACTGTCGATGGGTAGTACAAAGCGTATTTTCAAAACATACCACGAGCAAAGGCTGATTCCTATAGGTATACTTAATGTAAACGTTAAACGTTTTGATAAAGCGGTGGATCTCGAACTTTTTGTTATGCCAGGTGGCGCGAAAACACCTATAATGGGCCGCGAATGGCTACGTGCGTTAGGAATAATAGGAATTCAAGATCCTTTTGATCTCAATAACATTGATATTAATTCTGTAAGGGAAAGCAAGGAATCGATTAATACGCTTATTCATAGGTTTAGTGATGTTTTTTCAAATGAGATGGGCTTATACAAGGGTGGGAAGTTTACATTGCACGTCAAGCCGGATACCATTCCTATATTCTGTAAAGTGCGGTCTGTGCCTTTTGCGCTGCGTAGTAGGTTAGAGGACGAGATTCAAAGGTTAGAGAAGGCTAAGATTATTGAACCGATTAAGAGTAGTGATTGGGCCACCCCGGTAGTGCCAGTACTTAAATCTAGTGGACAAATCCGTTTGTGCGGGGACTACAAAATTTCCTTGAATCCACATTTGATTGTAGATAAATATCCGATTCCTCGAGTTGCCGATATGTTGTCTAGTTTGGAGGGCGGGAAGTTTTTTTCGAAGCTCGATTTGGCACACGCATATCAGCAAATCAAGCTCGATGAAAAGTCAAAAAATTTGACCACAGTCACTACACACAAAGGCCTTTATAGATATAACAGACTTCCTTACGGTATAGCTTCGGCTCCTGGACTTTTTCAGAGAGAAATGGAAAAGGTTTTAAATGGAATGCACGGTGTCTCTGTTTATTTTGATGATGTCTTTATATCTGGCAAGACGCAAGAGCAGCACGACAAAAGATTGCTCGAAGTTTTAAGTCGATTTCAAAAAACGAATTTGAAGGTTAAAATAGGAAAGTGTGAGTTTTCACAAAATAAAATCCAATTCTTAGGTTATGAACTAATGGAACAAGGCTTAAGTGTTGCAAAAAATAAGATTGACGCAATCCTAAAAATGAATACTCCATCACATATTAAAGAATTGCAGTCTTTTATCGGTGCTCTTACGTATAATGCTAGGTTTATTAAGAATTTTGCCATGTTAATGAGCCCGTTGTATAGACTATTGAAGAAGGATGTGGAGTGGCACTGGACCCCGGAACACGATAGGGCTTTTGAAGAGACCAAAAATAGATTAGTCTCGCATCATGCTCTTGTGCATTATAATTCTGACTTACCTGTAAAGATTACATGTGATGCCTCACCCTACGGGCTTGGAGCCGTGCTTTTCCACATTTTTCCAAGCGGCGAAACCAAAACAATAGCGTATGCGTCTAGGGTACTAAGTCCGGCAGAAAAAAATTATTCCCAACTAGACAGGGAAGCCTTAGCGCTTGTTTTTGGTGTTAAGTCGTTTCATCAATACGTGTACGGTCGCAGTTTCGAACTTGAAACTGACCATAAGCCATTGTCCTACATTTTTAGCAAGAAAAAAGGCATTCCCTAGATGGCTGCAAGTCGTGTACAGCGCTGGGCCGTTTTCTTGTCTGGCTATGATTTTAATATTAGACACATCAAGGGGACAGAAAATGGACCAGCTGACGCGCTATTTAGAGTTTTAACTAATGATATTAATACTTGTAAAAACCAAATTGATGAGGCAAACTATAGTTTTCTTAATTTTGTAACGGATGAAGCGGAGTGGATCGATATTGACATTGTTCGAAATGAAACACTTAAAGACCCCGTTTTGAGTCAAATTTGCGAATTTTTGAGGCAGGGCTGGCCCGCAAAAATCAATGAACAATTACAGCCTTTTAAAAATAGACAGCTCGAACTGGCCATTGAAAATGAATGCATTCTATGGGGCCATAGATTAGTCATCCCAATGAGCTTACAGGTAATAATTTTAAAAGAATTACATGAAGCTCACATGGGAATTGTTAAGATGAAGGCGCTTGCTCGGTCTCACGTCTGGTGGCCAGGCATTGACAAGGCGATCAAAAATACGGTCAAATCATGTGACCTCTGTTTACGGTTCAATAGCGACCCCCCTCGCGCGTTACTTCACGTCTGGAAATGGCCTGACGCACCGAACCAGCGCATTCATGTAGATTTCTGCGGTCCAATCGAAGGATATATGTATATAGTGATCACGGATGCGTATTCGAAATGGGTAGATATTCGTGAGCTGCCAAACAATACGGCGAACACCACCATTAAGATTCTGAAGGAATATATAAGTATATGGGGTTTGCCAGGAACGATCGTTACAGATAACAGACCGACTTTTACGTCGGAAGAGTTCAAGGTTTTTCTCGAGAAAAATAACATTAAACATCTACGATCAGCACCATATCACCCCGCTTCGAATGGCGCAACCGAGAATGCCGTAAAAACTTTTAAAACTAAATTCAAATTGCTGAGTAAAAAATTATCTCACCACGACGCACTATATAAGTATTTATTTGTTTATCGCACAACACCACATTGCACGACCGGATGTACTCCCGCCTATTTACAGATGGGAAGAGAATTAAAGACTAGATTAGGCACCCTCGAGACGTCAGTGCGAGCCAAGGTAGAAAATAACCAGATAAAACAAAAATTGTTTTTTAAGGGTAACCGCACCCAAGAATTTGATATTAAGGATTCTGTTATGGCCAAAGATGTTACGGGAAATCAATGGCGAAAGGCTGAAGTAATTGATAAGATAAGCCCGGTACTATATAATGTTAAGCTTGACGATAGCAGAATCTGGAGGAGGCATATAGATCAGTTACGAACTTACGAGGATAAATTCAAAGCCCCCACTACCTTCCATAAGGAAATACTGGTGCCGCACGTAGCTAAAAACACGCAAGAAAACCTACCTCCTGTTCTACTATCGACGACTCCGATACGCGAGAAGCTACCGATCACTGACGCTCAATCGCTCGAACAACATAACCAACCACCGACGACTGATTCTGTAATCGCGGACGAACCGCCATCTATCGGCGCAAACAGCAAGCCTGCGACCGTTGAACCTAGACGATCATCTCGAGTTCGTAAAGCCCCGCAACGCTTAAATTTATAATGTTGTAAAACTCAAATTAAGCAGGGAGGATTGTTGCGTATGTGCATCGAGCGTACCTATACTAACAGCGCTACCTAGTGTGACTAGCTTGTAATGCGCGACACCACCTGCCCGACGATGTGGCTGTGCGTGGCCAGCAGATAGCCATAAGCAGCCTGCTAGAGCGTACGTGCCAAGTCTGTACTCACAAGCCTGTACAATTAATAAATCCATTTTACATTAATATTGTGTATCTTGTCTCTCATCTTTATTAGTTAAAACACAACAGGACCTGCACAGGCAGTCAGGCAAGCTACGGCACATTTCTCTTCGGGAATAGTTCTCGTTTTTCCCTTGGTGGCGCTGCTTCAAAATTGTGCACGTAGCGACGTAGCGAATGCGAATGTGGCTATGAATTAATCATCATTTCCGCATGTATACGTGAATAACTGAATAGTGAGTAGTTTTCTTTTCTCAATCGCCACATTGGTGTGCATCTTGTGTTAAGATCCTGTAGAAATTTTTCGTTCTTTTTTGCACACTGCGACTTGCTTAATGCTTATAATATATTATGTAATGGTACACAGAGAGTTATTTTTTATTGCAGTAAGTTATAAATAAACAATCAAGACGTAGTAACCAGAAATCTGCCGAGCCTTTTGAGACATAATTGAATTAAAGACGATGACTATCTTTACACATACAGCTTATATCGAAAAATTTCCTAATGAAGTCGAAAATTTTGTTATTAATGCCATTGAAGTTGGCAATGTTAGAGTCATCGACGAGTTCATAGATTCTGGACATTGCGTTAATTCCTATCTCAGTAGTGGATGGACTTTACTAATGTACGCTGCATCATTCTCCCAGGTAGAGGTTGTTCGACAGTTGCTGAATCGTGGCGGAGATCCAAACATTCATCACGAAGGCTTCACGCCTCTTATGGCACTGAGTTCCTCTACCAGCAGGCACTCGGCTGATCGCTTGCAGTGCTTAAAATCCCTGTTAAAGGCAAAGGCTGACGTGAATACTACTAATAAACTTAAAGAAACGGCCCTAATGTTTGCAAGTAAAACGCAGCAGTCTGACTTTGTGCTTGAATTACTAGAGCACCAGGCTTGTATTGATTTTACTGATTGCCAAGAGTGGACTGCATTATTTTATGCAGTTGCCAGCAATAATGTACATAATGTTGAAGTCCTTTTGAAATGGGGAACTGATTCAACTTTGAAAACTTATGATGCCCTTAGCGTTTATGATGTAGCTGTAGCTAAGGGACACGAAAAATTGATAACTTTGTTAAATAGTAATTGTCCAGGCAAATGCCAGAATATAAATGTACATGCCACAATGTTTTGGACAGATCTGTTTCCAAATCTAATCAAACTAAGACCAGATGAAGTGGATTGCAACGTCGAAGGCATCTTGTATGGAATGGGCTTAAGCTGTTACAATAAACTTTTTTATGGCATGAATCTGTCACAATTTTTAACTTTAGAAGAAAAAGATTTAGTACTACTGGAAATCAATCTAAAACTTCATAGAAAAAAATTCATAGAAGGTTTAGTCAGGTTTCATAAACATGAATGGTCTAGCAATGTAGTAAAACTGAATGTTACTCAAGAGTATATTTCTCTCAACACAATTAAATTATTAGGAAATATTAGTTATCAATTATGCATTATGTCTAGTAGCTTGTACTTTTTAATAAATTATCGGTCCCAAGTAGAAGAAAACCAACAATCACATCTTACTTACTTAAACAAAACAAAAATTATGGAAGAAGTAACAAATATTCTAATAGTAGTTCAAAAAATAAGAGATAGCATACTAAATATACGAACAATTCTCTATTGTATGAATAAGCAAAACTCTAATTTATGTTTACCAATATTTATTACAAAAAAAACTAAAAAACATAAAAGTTGCCTCTGGATGGTAGTAATTATTTCTGTAGCCAGTACATATTTGCTTCTTAAAAAAGCAGTAAAATGTTAGGAAAACATTAAAAACTCTACAGTTAAAACACAAAAAGATCTGTACTATTTTATTGATGTAAATACATGTGTCTAGAGTGCATTTTTAGTTGAAAGATTGCATTTCTTTCAGTTAACACTTTTGCATACACCATGGTGTATTGAATGTAAACTTATATTTTTGACTACTGCAATACATACATCATTAGTTATAAACACTTATTACATTCGAACACAGAGTGTTTTTAAAAAATTAAAATTTTTTTGTGCCATTTTCCACATCAAATACACTTATATTCAAAATTTGTTTTCTTTGATAAATGCTATATTGTTTATTTGTATACACAGCCAGAATAAAGTGTACTTAAATACAATTTTGGTCTGAATTTATTTCATTGGTCTAAAACTACTTAGTTCAAGGAAGTTGGTGTTGAATGACATTTTAAGATTTTTGAATTTTCATTCTCTTATATCATTAAAATTATCACTTATTGACGTCATTATAATTAGAAATCGTTAAAATCTCGTCCCGATTCAGGCAATACTAATGGAACTTAATTTGTAACTAGCACTTGATAGACTAATTAGAACTAAGGTCCTCTATTGGGATTCCAGAAGGTCACGAGACTCGCGATGTATATTGGGATTCCAAAAATGTCACACGTTACTCGCGATATACATAGTCATTTGGAGGAAAATAACATGTTTTAGAGGAGATGACAGTACCTTAGTTATTTTTCCCTAACTTAATAGGTCTTTTGCAGATTAAAACTTTTCTCTGAAAGTGCGAAAACGCACATTCAACCTTACCAAAACTCTGTTTTCCTACACCCGATCGGATATTTAACTAGGCTGCCTCGGTAGTCAGAGGGGGCCTAGATAGGCCCAAGGTAGGTTTTGTAACGGTGGAATTGGTAAGGACTATAGGTAGGAAGCCTAGCCAGGTATCTTCCATCTCACTCTTTCTTATGCTGTAGCTGTAGCTAGAATGTATAGGTACAACTGATGCGAATGACAGCAATTTCAGAGCAGTGTGTGTAAGATAATTAACTGACATGTTAAGGGTTCTCTGCATTTTTATTGAATAGATTTAAAAATTTTTTTTTGTAAAATGAGTTAGACAGTGAAATAATCGTTGTCATTAAGTAAGGAAAGGATCAAGAGAAATCTTGCTTTCAAACGTGCAATTGCAAAGGAGGAAAAAAAAGAAATACATGGCTCCAATATTTGCATAAATTACGACGGGTTATTGGGTTATTGGGTCAAAATCAAAATGCTGACTACTAAAACATTTAAAATATTCTCAGTTTTATTAAATTGACACTATTTTTTTCCTACTGTATTTTTTTACAATGTAAAAGTAATTAATTTTTTCAATAAAAAGTTACCATTGGTGTAAGACATTATACTATTTTTTTTTCTCCTAGTCTAAGAATTCTTGAAGTACCGTATATTACGCACATCTAGAGAGCGAGGTTAAGGAGCAGAACAGAACAAATACTTAAAGCATTTTCGATGGAGGTATGCAGAAAATATACTCTAGAGAGGTTGCCTAGGTAGGAGCAAGCTAAGCCGCGTTACATCACGCCATCTGCCTCTATACTTTTGCCTCGCTAGGACCTAGCTAGGCGAGCTAGGCTGCCTAGGTAGGCATAAGCTAGACCTCCGCTAAGCTTTCCGATCGAGCAGGTAGTCGGGAACAGGAGAACTTCTTACAGGTTGAATGCATTCAATGCACATGTGCATTTTCGCATTTTCCAAGGAAAGTTTTAAGCTGCAAAAGATTAACTAGGTTGAGAAAAAATAGCCAAGGTATCATCGTCATCTTCACAAAAACATGTTATTGAAAGGATTATATCTTATTACAATCGTTGAACGTTTAAAAAAATAAAAATAGAATTGCACCCATAAGGCCTATCTCATTTTTCCCCCACTTTGCTATATATCGGGAGTCATGTGACCTTTCGGAATCCCAATAGTCAATTAGAACCCTCCTGACAAATCTCACCTGAGATCTCATCTGATATCTCATGTGATTTCTCACCTGAGATCTCATGCCAAATTCTCATCTGAGATCTCAGGTGAGATTTTGGAAAGAAAAATAAATAAAAAAATTTTGTGCAACAATTATAATTTATACATCAATAGAATAATTACCTAAAATATCAACAGATATAGGAAAAAAAAAAAAAAA